CACGCGCGCGCGCGCAGCGCACGCACGCCGCACTCACGCGTCACGCACGAACACGCACGCACGCGCGAGCCGCGCAGCACGCACGCCGCGCCGCAGGCACGCAGCACACGACCACCCGCAGCGCGCAACGCATCACACTCACACACACCCGCACACACACACACAGCACACGCACCGACGGCACACACGCCGCACGACACAGCCCACACATCACCGACGCCACAACGCACCCACACACACGAAGCCCGCACAAACACTAATTGCCCGTAGGATTTTTCTGCAGTTTTCCCATTACCTGCGTTTAATGGTTAACGGCTCAAACATCTAATAATATACTCGCCTTGCTAACTTCGGCCCAGAAGTCTGGGGTCTCTTCCCTGCCGCGTAGCCGTGGAGGAATGTACCAGAAGCCCACGTGTGCACTGAAACTAAATAAGAAAAAGCGTAACTTAGTCGTAACAGAGTAAGTACGTTACTTAATAAATTCATGTTTTTCCCCTCATAGAGTTATGAAAAACTAGCAAGGTGTGCATATCCGGAGGACGTATACATTTTAATTAAAAGTGAATGTTATGTATACGCTATATGAAAACCCGCCTTTGCGTGCTTATGCTGACCTGAAGCTATATAAGACCCAATGTTTCGTAGATGGCGCCAAATGAAAAAAAACTCTCATTAAAGTAGGGTATTGTTAGACGAGTGCTCGGTACTGTGCCGTTCATACGAAATTATGTTTATTTGAAAATAAAATGCGGTCGATCAAGAAAGATGGAGCCTCGGCAGCATGAATAGCATTTCAAGAGGCAAAGGGTTGGCGTGCTGAGACCGCATGAACGCAGCGTGCGATCGGATAGCATGCAAGCTAGCTGCTTGCTACAAATACACACAGACAGTGAGACTTGCCGGTGGGCCTGTGCGCACTGCAGCTAAATAGGCCCACACAGCTACCTTGCAGTAAATGTGACGTGAGCGAGCATACCGCGTTGAGGCCGCATACACACACGGCACGCACGGCACGCACGCACGCCTGCTACACACACACACAACAACGGACACCAAAGCACGCACACGCACGCACGCACGCACGCACGCACGCACACACACACACAGTGACACACACACACACCGCACACGCACACGCAACACACACGCACACCGCACACGTCACACGCACACTGTGGCACACGCATCACTGCACACTGCACACGTCACACGCACACGCACACGCACACGCACAGCACACGCACACGCACACGCACACGCCACACGCACACGATCGCACACCACACGACACACACCACACACACCACGACACACATATATATATGTAACATGAAAATGCATGCAATCTTACCGGATTTATACAATATACATCATTGGCGAAACTTAATTTTTGAGTCAACATCTACTTACCTTCGGCATAACTAGGCGGAACCATCTCGACATTCGCAGCTGGCCGCTAAGTACCTGTACAAAACGCAAACAGATATACTGCCTTAATCTGTCTACTAGACAGATTTCAAAAGAATCAAACGTCATTAGCTAGTTTGTGAAACTTGCTTCCCGCAACGTATTAGCTCTTGGTATTACCATCATTAAGATCCATGAAATCTCTGTGCGCTCCAAATACATTTACTCAACCGCACGCATGCCTAGTACGGGGATGGTTTGTATTTTGCAATGGAAATGTGTGTTGTGTGTGGGTTGTGCTGCGTGCGTCGCGTGCGTGCGGCGTGCGTGCGCTGCACGGCGTGTGTGGTGTGGTGGTGTGTGTGTGTGTGTGTGTGTGTGTGGTGCGTGCGTGCGTGGCGTGCGTCGCGTGCGCGTGTGTGTGTGCGAGTGTATGTTTGGTACGCGCATGCAATGCGCCAGTGAGTAGCATTGCTCCAGTTTAATTTTCACGCAGACCTGTTGTGTTCCCGATACCCATGTCCATGTAATAACGTAGATGTGTAACGCATATTGCATGGGCTTCACAATATGACGCAATTGTATAGTCTCACGAATGAAAAGGGGAAAAGGCACAATAAGTCTTTATAATAGTCTATATCAAACTAGTCTATATCAAACTAGTCTTATATCGACTAGCTATATTCAACTAGTCTATATCAACTAGTCTATATCAACGTCTTATCAACTAGTCTTATATCAACTAGTCTATATCAACTAGTCTATATCAACTAGTCTATATCGACGCTAGCTGTTGCGATGCAGTGATTTGCAGAACATTGGGTCGGAACTTTTGTGCGGCAACAAAAATTCTTAAAAAAGCCAATCAAGTGACAGAGAGAGCTAGTACAAGAGTACGATACGTAAGCGGTTCGCGCAGCACTCGCAAGCTCTGTTGTAAAGCTGCCGAGCAGTGATGGAGCGGAATTGCAACACGTCTGCTGACAGACGGGCTCAGCGAGCGGCCGTTTAACGGTAGGGCGATGGGCGCGGTCGAATAACTATAATCGCGAAGGCGCACGCAGGTGACTTGCTGGATGTCGATGCTATCCACGGCACTTCGATGCCTTATCTAATAACAGACTCCATGACGAGCAGCTTGAATGGACGCGGCACAAAACTATTCAGCAGGCTTGTTACACGCCGTCTCCGGTATACGCCTTCAGGGGCGAACACACGTCTTGCCAACAGAAATGCACGTGGTGGCAGGCCGCCGAGAATGTGCCTGGCGGCATTAGCGCATTAGGCGGAGGCTGATAATCATTAGTAGCGGCACCCGTCGTGAGGGAAGACCTTGAAGGTGACGTCCAGGAATTCATCAGCGCCACTCCTCGTAACAGCCGGCGCGCAATCCTTCCACCCGCAGTAGAGGACGTTGCGTGTAATCGCCGGGAACTTTCGCTTTCCACTCAACGCTATATATTTAGAATTTCTCGTCACGCGTGGAACTACAAAGCAAACACTTTCGCGATCTGGCCATGGCGAGGCGGGGAAGGCGGCCGCCATCCCCCCGCGACACACATTAAAATGCCGATTATTTTCTGTTGCGCATATTAACTCCCGAATCTCTTTTCTACGCGCACATGCTCGCCGACTGTGGATAGGCACTTCTGGAGCAGATTAGAGGTGGAGGCGCTGTCATCTTATATCACACGCGCTCACCTGAGTTGCATGCAAAATGTGTCCAGACAAATCCGGTCTGTCGAAAAGTCTCGCGGACCGGAAAATGCTTAATATATATATATACAATAAAAATCTAATTATTTTCAACGTTAAAGTACATCATCGTTAGCTTCATCCTGGCCACTCATTACTCATTGTAGGTTTCTGCGCGCAATTGATCTGGATCGCGACTATATAGAAATCCATCATCGAGCCATCTAACAGTGCTGACTGTTAATCATGGTTGGAACTTGCGCCTCCCACCTAAGATTAAGGATATTATCCAGAGCACATTAAAATTACGCGCGTTATTATGCCAAGGCGACGGCTGATAACGCGTTAGGTATAGCCGGCTACGTTTAGCTCTTCTTCGCAAACGTTTTCCAAGTGCATGCTGCCGGACAGCCCGATATTCGCGTCAATAAATCAGCCAGGTCGAGTGCGTTCAAGGTCGTTCATTTACAACACTGACAACTGTTGATCAAGAACGAAACTGTTTCTAATGTTGTCCACCTAGAATTTGCCTCACTACATGTAAACATCATTTGCGTGCGCTTGCGAAGTCTACAATAATAGATATCGCGTTGGTTCTTGTTAGACGTACAAGACAATTGTGGCGGACCGGTCGAGTTAAGCCCGCAGGCTATGGGAACGCGTCACGGAATCTCCATACATCACTTGGGTGTGTTCCACATATACACTAATTACTTGCACGAAGGTCGTCTATACATACTAGTAAAACTAAAAGGATTTTCCACTGCGGTTCAGTAATTTACATAAATGCAGAAAATTATCAAATGTCGTAGCAAGTATACGCTCTTAATTAAGTACGCTCTTAATTACCCACCAGCGCATTAAAAAGTAAAAGTTTGATAAATATCTGATCTACGCGGCAGCACTTGGAGCAGTCGGGCCCCCCGTTGCTGCAGGCGACGAATTGAGAGCGTAACCTATTGACATAGTTCCAAATACGGGCACGGTAACGGTATATAGGGAACGCTACACAAAGGCCAGAACGCCCTGCGCGTTTCTGCCGCCTGCGGCTTACTAAAGGCAAGTGGCCGCAATGTAGTTCAACTGGAACACCCATATGTATATAAAGTGAGCGAAAGTGGTCACTCGTCAGTCTGAGTGCAGCCTCCGAAGTAGCAACATGAAGGTCCTCATCATTGCTCTGTGCGCTGTCGTGTATATGGGTAAGTAACTATCGACCAATAACGTAGAAACTTTATAAACGGCTGGTACATACTACATGTCGCTACTATAGACAACGCGATGGATGAGTAAATGCAGTGATGCACGTAAATGTGCTCTTATAGAACCTATATTAAAATAAAATTCCAATAAAAACTAATTTAAGAGTAATAACATATATAGTAATATATATGCAAATGAGCTGATTATTTATTTTATTTTACCACAGCCGCGGCCAGTCCGCTGGAAAAGCGTCTGGGAGTACCGATACAGGCAGAGGATGACTGCAACCCGAAGATCGGCGCCAAGAACTTCTCTACCGATGCCACCGATTGCCAGGTGTTCTACATCTGCGATCACGGATGGCCGAAGATCCGTCGTTGCCCAGGTGACACCATCTGGACACCAGAAGGTGCTGGTGTGGGTGGAGCCTCGTATCTGCACTCGTCGTTAACCGCAAAGTACTTGTCGGTGCATCTCTCCAAAGTTACACTTGCTCCAGAGGATCTTGACCCAGGTAACAAAAACTTGTTCTATTCGCAAAACGTTTCAATCGTCACTAGGATATAAATTTATTCACGAGTTTCTAGTATTTAATTGTTCGTGTGTTTCGCAACCAACAGCCGGATTAATATAAGTATTTATTTCATATTATCTTGCAGGATAGATGATAAATATTTCAAAAATATTTTACGAGCAGATATTTATGCACAAGTGCGTATTAGCAGTGGCATGAGGGTACGAGGAGCGAAGAATAATCATGCTGTTTTCCATGTAGTGACTAAAGCTGTGGCTATGATGTAATGCTGGAGACTAAATGAACGCTGTGCTGTATATGTAAGGCTGTAATTATGTGAATATCACACGATAGTGATCTATAGAAATATATTTGCGGTGTCAGTTTGCCGTGTAGCTTGTCATGCGCATTCTATGCGTAGCTACCATAGAACAAGTGCTCTGTTTCGTATACTATGCAGTGACTACGATTTGACATATGCCGCCTAAAATTAAGCAGAGCAGTTGATGGCACGTACTGTCAAAAACCTGATAGTATGTTACAGAGTGAGACAACAATGTCACTCGATAGTTACTAGACCTGCTCGAGCTCATTGACAAAAGCCGAGTGTAAAGAAAGTCTATAATAGAGCACTAAGTAAGGAGGGCGAAGATATTTTCTAATATCATGACGTCTGACGGATTCCGAGTCAAAACAGTATATTCCAAACGAGCTATGATGATCGCAAAATTGAACTCAATTTTGAGCATCAATTGATTTAATGCCTCTCCATAGTGGGTTGCCCACCCATGGTATACGCGGCTGGATCAACACAGGTCGTGGAAGAAACGTGCTCCGCTGGTGCGTGGCGGCTCAATCGAGTTGGGGCGGCGGGTAGCTTGATGTTGAAGTAGCCAGCACAGGTTGGGGAGTGGGGCGCCAAGTGGAGGTGCGGCCAGCAAAGGTCGCACGTGAGACGCGCGTGGCAGAGTGCTGTCCTACGAGTCAGAGAACTTGACTGGCTCTCTTTCCCATGTACTGTGGCGATCAGCTGCTGTAGTGTCACTGGAGCGCCTGAGAAATTGCCTGCGTGTGCCCGTGCGTGCGGAATCGTGTTCGCGTTGGACGGGCGTCATTCAAGGAACTGTCTGCGCGCACGGAGCCTCGCATGTGTGACCGTAGCCTTGGGTGTTTGAGCGAGAGCCAACTCGTTGGTCACGAGGTTGAATGGCGCCGGAATTGTATGGCCTGATGTTGTGCGCTGTAAATTTCGTCATGAGAGTTGTATCGTTGTGTGTGTGTTGCTAGAGTGAGCTGAAGTGAGGTGCGTCGGTTGGGCCCGTTGCTGCGCGTGCGCCGTATGAGCATTATATCGAGCTCCGTCAGAGAGTGCGCGCTGGTCGGCGATAGTGGAGTGACGAATTAGGTATCAAGCGCACAAATAAAGGCGAGCGGAAGAGCGTGAATAAGCCGAGCGAGAGGAAGTAGCGCGAGGAGGAGGAATGCAAAGTTCCAGAGGAACACGAGTGGGAGGGATGGCGCAGCCACAGTAGAGCTGGTTAATTCGAAGGTGTATGGCCACAGGGGAGGATCAATCTTGTCGGTAGGGTAGGAAGAATCCCATGTGAATCCATCATCCTTATGAGGTTAACGAAGTCGCTTCCCTTGGTCTGCAGGTAAGCAGATCGCACTCCCTTGATGGCGCTGGCTGGGATGCCAGAGAACCTGTTGAACATGGCGCGCTGTCCGGCATACTCAGCAGAGAGTTCGGCATCTGAAGCCTGGGCGCAGTACTCTGATGGCAACTGCTTACTGTAACCATTAAAAACATAGTTTAAGAATGTTTTGATTAACATGAATAGATGATATAATCACGTAAGTCTTGAACGAGTATTTTGAAATGTTGTTGAAAATCTAAATTTTACATATGTATACATTACATTAAAACGAAATACTGCCGCAGTTGGAAATATCTAACAGCAAGAAAGCATTACTTACGTGATAGAGAATGAGGCGATCTCATTTCCCTCGGCGTACATCGACTGGACTGCTGCGTAATCAGTGAACTGATGGCTTGTGAAGAAAGTTGCTGTTAACGGGCAACCATTGGGGCCCTTCGCGGTTCTCTTTGTCTCTGGGCATTCACCTTCTTGAGGATCTACAAGCAGTAATTTTAGGATAAGTTCTACTAGCGGGATAATTGGAAGAACAAGTTAGATTATTGCATTTTATTAAGAGCGCATTAAGAAGGCTCTTCTTAATACGCTCGTGATCTTACACATACCATCGTAACATATTCCGAGATTTCATTGGCATTACCTGCTGGAGAAGATGGTTGTAGTCCTCTACTCTCAGAGCACCATCCCATCCAATCATAACCAGCTGTGAATCTCATTTATCTGGCAGATTTCCTGGAGCGTCTGGCTACTGCACTTGCAGTCTGGCAGTCTGCAGGCGTTAGGTCACAGATCGGAGGCACAGCCTCTTCGTCCTCTCCATTGTTGGCAATCATAACTCCGTTGCACATGTTCTTGGGTCGTAACACGCAGCTAGAAAATATTAATTCG